TTTTTTTTTTTTTTTTCATTTTTCCTTTTTTTTTTTTCTTTTTTTGAATTCTTTTTCGTTTTGACGCGTCAGAAAAGACCCTTCCCATGGTTTCCGGTCGAGGTCTGAACTAGCGGCGACTAGACGTTCCTTTCTTCTCCTTCCCTTCTCTGTCCTTCTTCCTTCCTCTTCTTCCTTTCGCTCCTTCGTTTTCTCTTCTGTTCAGTCTCTCGTACCGAGACGAGGCTTCCTTCCGCCGGTTCCGGGGAGTGGAGCTTGGCCAAAAAGGTCAATAGGTCGACACAAAGAGACCTGGCCAGCGGCAGTGAGCTAGCTGTCACTGACGCACACGCCACCAGGTCTGCTGCACCTTCTCGTGGAGCTTCCTGCAAATACCCGCGAGCCTCCGTCACATTCCAGCCTCCGCGGCGTTCTCCTCCGTCTCACCGCCCCCTTCCTCGCTAGTTAGGGTCGTCTTTGCCGCTCCGCCCGTGTCGCCCGTCTCCGCCGTCTCGCCTGTCTCGTCACCCTCCTCCAGTGTCACCTGAAACATCCAACAAAGATTGGTCATTTACCTTTCGTAAATTACAATTCGTCATTGCATTTTACGGGAAGCTCAAGTCTACTGATAGACCAGGAACACCAGGTAGTCCAGAATAGTCGAGAAAGTAGATTCGGAACAATTCCTTACCTGGAAGTGTATCCTGTCGGACTGTTGTTCGTTCCCTTGCTGCTGCTGTTGCTGTTGATCGTCGGACGGCGGCGACGGGGGTATCATCGATTGATACCAGTCTCGATTCTCCTCCAACGTGTCCAAGATATCCTGAGCGTCCGGATGAACCAGATCGGCCCAGGTCTCCCACAGAGGATGAACGATGTAGTCTATGAAGCCGACCTGCGACTTCTCCACGGTGGCGCTGTGCCTGTCGCACATCGGGCTGATGTCCATGTTCTGCTCGCGTTCCCGATCGCCCTGAAGGAAGAACTCCTCCATTAGGAGGCCAACCCATCGTCGATAGAGTGGCAAGGGTTTCGTCGGATTGGACAGGTCGGCGCAGTGCACCAGGTTCTCGAGGACCTGGATCCGATCGGTGTAGTTGTCCAAGAGAAGGACACCGGAGCCCGCCACCTTCTTCGTTTCCACCATGGTCTTCAAATCCGCTAGCAGGGACATGTGCTTGGACATGTCGGTGGACAGGACCATGTCGATCACCATCTTCCTCAGCGTTTGGCGTTGCTTCTTCGTCATGTTGACAAAGATGTCGCAGCCCTCGTTCTGGAGCAACTTGAACGCCACTGCCAGATGGTGGTTCTCCAGAACGGACTCGTCATTGTACATCAGAGCGAGCTCCGAGCCTGGAGAAAGAGGAAATCGCGTTACTAGAGAATTCGTCGAAACGTTTCATCAAAGAGGATATTGAAAAGTGCAGAGCAGAAACTGGCAGAAGTGAGAAGTGCAACATTTTCCTCACACGCCCCAATTAGGATTCTAGGGCCGATTACAACCGACGTGGGCAATTACAGGGCGATCGATTTGAAATAAAAGTTGCCCGAAACTCCCGCGAAGAGCAAATACTCACTCGAATTAATGAGGAACTGGTTGGTGAGTCCAGGATGATCCACGTCGTGAATGGTGGCGGCGAACAGGGCAGCCGTGATTTCCAGCGGCGTGAACACGGACTGCAATTAGAGAACAGCGCCAATTAGCCGGCCGGTATCGTTGGGGCGTTAATTGGACATCAATCTAAGTCTAGGGAATATCGATTAACACGAAAGCCGGAACAAACTAGGTTGCAACAACACGCCGTAACGCGCAACGATTTCTGATCAGAGAGACGATCTTAAAACGCATAAAATTATTTCCTAGAAAACAGACGGCTAGCCAGCGTGTGTTCCTTTTTTCCTAAAATTCTGCGTAATTACTTTATCCAAAATTTTGTCCTGACGCTGGAAGAACGTACGTTGTTTCTCCATTTAGCGATTTCTGTTAATGGTAAGCTTTCCAGGGGGAGAAAAAAATGAGGAAACTAGAAAAGATAAAAGTTTCCAGTTCATTCAGCGAGGACACAGCTTTGGGAATTGTGAAACTCCGGTCGAATGGAATATCTATTAACCTCGAGTGCGGGCGTGTTGAGCAGAGTGTGGGTGGACTGGGTCACATCGGCCGCGTGCAGGCTGTTGTGGAAGGGATTGTCCTTGACGTAGTTGTCCTCCAGGGTCATCATGAAGGTGACGAAGGTCTTGGGCGGTATGGCCAGCGATTTGAGCAGGTCACGCGTCTGAAAGGCTGTGTACGCGACGCAGGTCAGCGGCCTGTTGTTGCTCAGCTCGCCTATCCTGAAGATGTCGATGCCCCACTTGTCGATATCTGACAGAAGCTGTAACGATCGTGCGTAGAAAATTAGTCCATCAGGTCCAACCGAAGATACAAATAGATAAAGATTTTTTAACATCTTCCGCGGCTAATTGTCTTGGCCGAGAGTTTGTCGATTTTGAGAAATTTTTTTGGTCTGGACCGAACATTCCTAATTTGACTTTGATTCACGTATCTGCTCCAATTTCAGAATTTTTCCTTCGAAAGAGTTGAATCAGCTGATCTCCAGCACTGAGCACGAGACAAATTCGAACGTTTCATCTGTCATCCGGCTCGATTGATTAATCTTTCGGACAGTTTCTTGGAGGCCCGATTTATAAAATCGACCCTGCAGAAAGTTACCTGGCACGGGCGCGAGATTTCAGAGGATTCCTTTTTAAACGGAAAGTTTCTAATTAACTTGTTGATCAACGTGTCCGACGCCAGCCTTGAGATAGCACAGAATTTGGCAAAATCAAGAGGTTAGGATTAATTTAAACGTTCCTAGCTAAAACAAACCTGTCTGTAAAGCGAGCGAACTGCGGCCGGTTTCGCGAGCCAAATAAGGAATTGGAAGCCACACTGCGAGCCACATTCTGAATCAGAGCGAGCGTGGGCTCGCATTATTATCCAAACAAACTTTTAAAATTGTTCATTCCTATCTTTTTGATCGTGTGATCTCATAAACATCTTTCATCAATTTACCATCGAAATAAAATTCGAGCGAGTTCCTTTCTAAATTTTATCTTCAACCAAGGATTTACCATTGACTAAATTTTATCCTTAGCCTTAACTAAACAGATTATTCGGCTCTCTCGTTCATTATTCCCGACGAGAAAAGAAAAGAAAATAAGAACCGGACCGTTTCCATTTCCATTTCCATTCAAATCGCAAAGCCACGAAAGACGCGCGCCACCGGAAGCCAAGCAGTTTCTACGAGCCATCAAGCGTCTGATTAGCATACAAAGCGGCGGCTTGATTACGTGAAAGTTGTAGCCACTCTCTTCGCCATGAAGAAGGATTTGCATCGATTATGCAAAACGAAATTGAGTGCCTCGGCCGCTCTTTACGTTTAATTCTCTTTAAAAATTCGGCATCTCGCGTTGTTGCAGGGGACGCAATGACTTTATTTATTTTACGAACGAACAAAATCGTATTACTCTTCGTCGAAACGAGATCGAGGCGAGTCCGAGTGAAATTGGCGTGTTAACGATCCACCGCGTTATTTAATTGTATCGAGAGAATCCGAAACAGAAACGCTTCGAAACAATAAACGCTGAAATAATAAAACCGTGAAATATTGACACTTCGAACTTCGAGATTATTTCACAGGCGAAAGTGAGCTTTGAAAATAAGCTCGGGTCTGTGCAAATAAACGAGAACTGCGAAACGAGATTGGTCGGCGCTCTTAAAATCGCCAACGCGACGAAGAGCGAATAAATAATTCGCGAGAAATCGAAACTGGGTGGAGAACGACTTTCGTCGTTCATGCTGGAAAATTTTCGGTGAAAGGAAAAACTACAGAATCTGGCAAATTTTTAATCAAACTTTCTCGCAATTCGCTCAATAATACCGTTCAATCGCGAGGGTGAGCTTCTAAAATTAGAATAATTAAATTGACAAATGGAAGAATTCTTAAATAAACAGACGAACAATTAACTAGAGTAATTGTAACTGAACAACAGAAATCGATCGATAGTTAAATAGTTGAAAAACGAAGTCAAAAATATCAGACAATATTTGCATTTGATCGCGAGTGTAAATTTCTAAAATCAGAATAATTAACTGGTAATTAAATGGATGAATTAATTCTTGAATAAACAGATGAACAATTAAAGGAATAATTGTAATAGAATAACAGAAACCGACCGGTTGGTTTGGTTGGGAAATTACAGCGAAGAATGTAGATTGAAAAATACTGCAGAGAGTACTGATAGACATTTGGTACGTGTACAAAATAAAACAGAGACGTGAAGAATCGAGCGACGAACCCTTCTGTCTCTAATTACACCGCCATCATTTAGCATGATTCACCGTGAGAGTGACAATGAACATTGATTCCATCGAAAGGCCAATGTAAACGCCCTAGCCTTTATTCACGATGGTGTGTGCGCGCGCGCACAAGTAGCAAACACCGATGAAAAATTCGGGACGAGGTCGCCAGCCTACGATAACCTGATTTCTTCGATCCCTTATCGCTCTCATTATCGCCGCTTCCACGATTAATTAGCGAGCCGTTGCAAAAAGTCGCTCACGCGAGCCTACGTCACTTTATCCTCATTTCTACTCGCGTTTCTCAAAATTCATTCAGACAATTTTCATAGCGTAGGTTGTCTACAATAAACGAAACATTTGACATTTAATAGAAGGGAATATTTCGTTAAAGTAGAAAACAGACTGTAATAAAATGGAATGGAATATTTCATAGGTAGAATAAAATAGAGTATTTGATATTTCCTTTGATATTGCGCGACAGAAAGATTTTCTCTCCGAGGAAGGAAAATATTTTCCGCGGCGTCGACGACTGAAATCGTTCATGGTCCCTTTTCGTTTCCCTTTATTATTCTTATTCTTATCTCGTCGTATCTCGTGTCTATCAGCGCAAGTTTCGCGTAGGGGGGAGCTCTGTAAATCCAGAGGAAACTTCCAGTCGGGGGGAAGAGCCGCCCCGACTAGTCAAATAGTTGCCTGGCTTTCCCGATTAACCGAGACAAAGAAACAGAGATTTCTGGAGAAAACACGTAATCGTTGACTCATCGTGGAAACTTTTCTGCCCGATCTATGGATCGATCAAAGGTAAACGTAAAATTCAAGACCTTCCAAAGTCATTTTAAACTTCTCCACGTTCCCAATGAATTTCGCGTATCATCGTATCATTAATACTCGAATGATTAAACAGAAAATTACGATTTCGAGAATTTTCGTAAGCGAGGGATGTTAATGGTAGATCGATTAATAGGAAAAATTACCGCGGCTATCGGAGTAAAATTTCCCAAGGTTCTTCTAATATAAAAATTCTAAATATACATCAAATTAGCCCGACAGGAGTGAAAAAGCGTCGAATATAAACAAGGGAGTAAACCGTCCAACGGCACGTAGATTGTGTAGGAACACGTCTCTGTATTGTGTCAGAGATTACACGTGTTCCTGACTGGTGTCTGGCACGATTAATAATTGGATGACAGACGTGAGGCAAGCAGGAAAAGCGAAACTGAGCTGCAGGCTCAGTACTATCCGATTTGTGGCTCGTGAAAGTTCAATTAACGTCGCGTGAAATACCAATTTTAAAATATATATCAATATAACATAATATAACATAATATATATTTTACAATTTCACCTGTTCAGTCATATATTTTACAGTAGTATATAAATGAACGATATTTTGCCAAGGACTTGTTGAAAGAGCCGTCAAGATTTTAGATGAAGTTTCTCGCGAGATTTCGAGAACTTTGAAGCCTGTTGTGCAAGCGTTTTTGTACGAACTCGACACGCCGAAAAATCCATAATCGAATCCGCTTTCCGCGCGAATAGAAAGCGTACCGTTAATTAATTTTACTTTCGCGAGCGTTTTACGTTCGTAAGAGAGCCGCTTTCGCAACGGGCCCACACGGTGAGTCACTTCGAACTTGAGGGATTATTCAACAATTATTATTCAACCGATTGCCGACGAGTGTCGCCGATGACTCGGCTGGATTCATTTCGCGTAATTACAAACTCGAAGGGAAGCAGAAGCTCTGCTCTCCGTTTTTCGAGCCTCGAGCGAAACTTCGAATTTTACACACCGGTTGTTTTCATACTCGCGCGAGAATTTTCAACTCTTTCGCAGCTGCAAACACGGCCAAGTTTCAACCTTCGCTGATTAGGCAGAAAGTATATAAGTAGAATTTGATAGAATTACATCGTAATTCATCGAAGTTTCGATAGTACGAGAGAGGAACTGGCAATTGAAGCAATCACGGTCCACCAGGTGAAAGTTTTCCAGGTGAAACGCGCGGGAATTTTTAGAGGGTAAAATGGTAGGTGCCTACCTTGCCGAGCTCTTCCTCGTGGGGCGTCTCGACGCCGTGGAGCGGCACACGTTCCCCGGTGAAGCTGTTCGTGTGCGTGAGGGGCCGTTTCACGCCGCTTATGTGGGACATCGCGGCCGGGCCTCTCTGCGCCCGGTCCTTCTTCTTCGCCGCCCTTGCGTCCGCACTTCCGGCAGCTGCAACCGCATCCTCGATCCGCAGGGAAGGTAAGTCCAATTCTTGCTGCTTGTCTGCGTATCGAGACGAGGGATTTCGTTTCGGTCAAATTAAATTAAATGGCACATTACGACGTTACTACCACGCGCATAAATCCGTCGCAGCGGACTTTCAATTTGCATCGAGCGTTTAAATAATAATAATAATAATAATGAGAAAAGTACTCGCGCGATCTGCTTGTATGTAACACAGTAACACAGTAACACAGTACTGTTTGCAAAAATGAACAATATTGTACAATTCGTGATTTAATACGCGCTTAATTGCGTAAAATTCAGCGGGTCGGGGAGGATTTGTTAAAATTTTCTTGCAAGTGTCGAAATATTCCACAATACTATAAGAAAACGAACGCGAGTGAATGAAACTATGATATTCTGAAATTTGTCGGTTAAAATTCTCTAGAGCGAGATAATTGTACTATTTAAAATCTACATGTACAGAACGAACAGTGTCGCATAGATAATTCGTGATTTATTCGAATATAAAATAGAGAAAAGCACGCAAGCGCGAGAAAATTTAAAGTTGTAATTACTGTAAGTAACGTTCTGTACTTGTAGATTAGCAAAAATTACAATTTATCGATTAATTCGAGCACGGACACGTGACGTTGCTTCCTACAAAGCGAGGATAAAGAAAAATTCTTCTCGAGCGGTCACGCACAGACGCACGAGTCGGTACGAAACAAAGAGAGTGAAACGGGATGAATGATCGTAAGACAAGCGTGCATTTACGGTGGTTTCAAGGGCCCTCAATGCGTAAGAGTCTACGTTGCTCTCATTGTCCCTGATAAATCTGCTCCTGGCGTTGACCTCGACGAAATCGCCAATTATCTCCTCTCTGTCTCTGTTTTTCGCTTCTTTTTTTTTCATAGTTTCATACCCGTCTCCTCGTGCTTCGCGCTTCGTCACAAAGGAATTCCTTTCACTTCGCGTTTTTTTTTTTTTTTTTAGCCGCGTCGAGAAGTCTCGTTAGACGTTTTCAAATCATCACGTGGGACAAGATCACGGTTCTGGTTATGGTTACGGTTACGAGCCAGCGGGCAGATGGATCTTGGTTTTGAACTTACCAAGGAAAGTGCTGCAGATGTATTCTGATATCTGGTTGCCAGACTTTGAGGACTCTGAGAAGTGGGACAGCTCCTTGTTCAGCATTCGCTTGAACTGTAATCAGAAAACGTGCGATGATTTAGTGATCGTTGCTCTGTCTGGTAATTTAAATATAAATTTAACATGAAATATAGATTAAAGTATAAATTGATACACGTGTAACGTAAGTGTAAGTAAGATAAGAATTATTGTAAAACATCCTACCTTCTTTCATTAGTTTAGGACATTCAATTTTAATTAAGAATTAAGAATTTCGGGCAATTTTCAAGGAACTTAACATTGAAGAGACGCTTCGTTAATTGTAGTGACATCAATATTAATCCCCTACAATCTTTCGTATCTTTAAAGATCTTTACGTAACGTTCTCCTGTGTTCATTTTTTTCTTTTTCTTTTTTTTCGCAATTTCTGCCCATTCACCAAGAAGAAAAGAAGCCATAAATCTCCACTTGAGTCAAACAAACGCAAGGGGAGAAAAAAAAAAAGAAAAAAAAAAAAGAAATGACGAAAGCACGAAGCCGAGATCCTCGATGCCATCGTCAGCTTATCTTGCGAAATTTACAATATTTGCCTGCGAAATTCTCGACGTAGATAAAACGATAGAGCATAGGTCTGCGTAGAATCATGTGAGAACGACGCAGAATCTGAATAGCGTCGTTGTTTTCTGTCCTGACGCGCGTTATCAGCTCTTTCGCAACTCGCGAGAGGATCTCTCTTCTCATCTGTGTGTGGTCACGTGGCGAAGAGTCGATTTTCCACTGATTTTTCTGAGGCAACAGCCACTCAGGATGATTCGTACGATTATGTTCGTCGAGTTTTCCAACTGTTGATTAAACGAGCTCGAGCAAGCACAAAGACATTGGAAATTATTGAGACATTCGAGGGTTTTCAGAGGCGAACACTGTTGGACAGTTGCGAAGAAAATTTAGAGTTAAAAAGTGATTCAAGATTAGGGGGTTGTTGGTAACGTAGAACATCTTCAACTCCTCCATGTAGATCGCAAGCGGACCGAGATATCACGCAGACGAATTTTTTATCTTAATTAATCTCGGCCTAGTTTTAATTTTAATTTTGACTTCAGTTTTGATTTGTTCGTGTATGCTTTCTCGTGTATCGCTATATTTTTGTCTCTTTCCTTTCATTATTGTATCTTAAAAGGATCGTTCCTATTCCGTCAGAAACAAAAATCAAATAAAACAGGAAGAATTTGTTTAATTACTTTATAACTCTGATGTCGATTTCAGTTTAATTTATTCGTGCATTTTTGTCTCCTTTTTTCTGTGTTTACTCTCGTTTACCTTAAACTTGTGGAATAAATGAGTGAAATAAAATAGGACGAGATGTTAATTAGCCACTGATAATGATAATAATTCAGATAAATATTAACAGTATAATCCAACAGCTGCACACAGGCAATATCCGTAAATTACATAACGCGTGCAAGTAACTGCAACATTTTGTTAAATTGTCGACGGGATCGCCGATAAGATTATCGATTATCGTCGCGTCGGATTAATTCGCTGGGCAGCGTGCGTTGGGCGAACGATAAACCGTGATTGCCCGATAAAGTCCATAATCGAGTTCATCGATTCGCGATATCCAACGACCAGCTACGCACGTCGTTGACCTCACAAACGTATTATCACGTGAATTCGTTCTTTTTCTCGCGTTGTTATTTTGCAAGCGTTGTTCGTAAAAAAGATCGTCGTGTTCGTTTGTTGCGTTTCTGGTGTTGCGTAACGTTGAGGCAGGTCAGCTAACGTGCTTTTCGCGGTTAATGCGCGAGGAAAATTGGATTGGCGAATCAATCTGGGGAACCTACGGAGCCGCGGACTAGTTGACCAGAACAAATTTTCAGACACAAACGAGCATTTCCACATTTCAATTTTATCTTCGCGTGTTCTTTGACTTCTTTCTTTTGATAGAAATTCTTAGAGGAGAATGTTTTACGATACATGTCAATACGTATGTATTGGATTTACTCAGTTGCATAATCTCTGACTGATATCTAATTGTCCGGACAAATCACGAGTTGATTTACAAGCTGATACTGCGTCGAGTTTTTCCTGGTAAATTCCCACGGGGGATTTCTTATCATCACGGTGGACTGGACTTTTTTTCCGTATCTGACGCGAGTGAGATCTAACAGCGGGTAAATTCGGAAATTTCGAGGACTGAGAGACGATGGCTCGTGGAATTCGAAGGAAACCTTGAACAGTAGCAAGTTTAAACATGATCCAGAAAGAGTCTTAAAATATTCCAAATGTTGATAAAAAAGAAAAAATTTTGTTATCTTATGATTTCGTTTGGAAGAATGATTACTAAAACTAACAGAAAGAGAAGATACGCAATATTCGTACAAGATTTCAACAACGTGCTCGTATCGTGTCTAAAAATAGAAGAAATTTTCGGTAAATCTTTGACGTTAATCCAGATAACGAAATATATACGTACACACACGCGTACAATATTTGTATGCAGAAATGTAATGTCAAAAGATTTCGTTCTTCGAAAATTATTGGATTTATCTACTGTCAAGCGGATACAAACAAGAAGATGATAAGAAGATATTGACGCATCGAGGAAACAAGAAATGTTGTTGTTGAAATTGCCTCCCCCGATGACCGGAGATGATTGAAAACATAATAAACAAAAACAAATATGAATTCATTCGTGTATGAATTGCGTTATTTACTCGTTACTTATTAGCTGTTGAAAGATATTGAAAGGTTAATTCACTTCTTTGATGACACATTTGATCTAAAACAGCCGGAATCTGGACACCAATGGTCGATAACACTTATCGCTGTATGTATTTCCAACTACGTTGTATCTCTCGTTCCTTCGAGAAAACAACAATTTTGGACGAACGATTTCAAGTTCAATGCACCTTCTGCCGACGAGTGCGGAATTATTGTAGAAACGCTCCTACGTGTCGAGTGAGATTTTCAAAATTCAAAAGCAGTCACGACAGGATGACCTCTTTTTTTTTTTTACGATTTACGATCTTTGATCAACTAATCTCCCTTTGACGTCAATTCAGTTCAGATTAGTCAAAATTGCTCTGGGCAATTCGCGGAATTTTATCGAAACTCGTCTCCCATTGGAAAAAATTAAAAAACTGCTCGGATCCTCTCTGAAGACACCTGCGCGAGATCGTCAAAGAAAAAAATCGTTCGAAGCTTTGAAAAATTTCCTCGCGGAAGAAGAAAGAGGCTTCGAGGGAAGGAAACCAAGCCAAAAATCGATCGATCTGTTATCGTCTCGCGCGTCGACGATATTTTCTCCCGCAATCTCGAGATCAGCGATCACCGAGCTAGATTCGCTTGAATTAACAGCCATTCTCTTTCGCGCCGTTTCGTAGAAAAACTTTATCCGCAGCCACGCGGACGATAACGTCGATAAAAAAAAGCCGAGATAGCCTAATCCGTGGGCTGTACGTTATTGTAAACAAAGCAGATAAACCTGACTGATATCTGATTGGAAAACAAGATTCAGCAGCCAGGCCGCGGATAAATCGATCGTTCAACTTTCACAGGGAACTTCTTTTTTTTTTCATTTATTTTCTCCTGTTTTTCTTTTTCTTTTCTTTCATCGACCACTCAATGGGACATGATCGTCGATATATGTATTTTAATGTCGACTCGAGATAACCACAGGTTGCCTCGTCGTTCCTTTCGCTCTTGGCTCCCTTTGTACGCAAATTTGGTGACGTCAAGGGAAAGATACGATCGTCATTCGTCGTTCTTCGAACCGTTCGTTCGCTGAAAAGCGAAATTTTTCATCGAGTGTACAGTTTTTTCGAGAGTTCTCTTTGAGGTTTCCCTCCGTTTTTTCAATCGCGTAGCATTTTGTCGTAAGTTTTTAATAAACGTTGGATTGTTTTATTGGATTTATAGAACGTTGTTCTCAGCTTTAATCGCGCAAATAATCGCAGAGCACTCGATTAAAACTTTTAACAGAGAACGTTCGTTGTTCGGTGATTAAAATTCGATGATCCTTTCCTAGATATCGAGAGACGTTCCGTGTTTGTCGAGAGACTGCAAAAGATATTCAATACGTCGTGTTTTTCGTGGAGAAAATAATTTTGCGAATGAACGACGTGAGTCATTTTCATTCAAACGATTCCTTTTTGAATATAAAAGAGATTGCTTCTATACAGAATTCCACGGAATCGGGGAATCGTTATTTATTTTCGGATTTCTCTTTTTTGACAAGTTCGCCGAAAAAAAAAAACACGTTCTTCTGCCACAACCGAGTTAATTAATGCGTTCCAAATTTAGACTAAAATGATACGACAAAAATAATCATCGATGTACATACGTAATATCGATATTTATAAATATGCACAATTACAGTCTTGCATACTTTTTTCCTTTTTCGCAATGAACTTTAAAAATATGAAAGAGATAGTAGTTAAAAATTTTGTAAGGAGGAGTAGCGGATTTTTTTTGTAATGAAAGGTAGTATCAGTTTGCTGAGATTGGAGGTCGCTCAACAGATCTATATGCACACGTATGTATATAGTTTGACAAGTATATGTCGATGGATCGATCTTTTCGCGCCACCTTGCCCCGATTCCGCGGGGCATTGAAAGACCTTGAGATTCGTCGAGATGTCGATCGTTACAACGAGACATTAAATCTTCGACGATTTTCAAATCTTCAATGGCGGCCTGTTACGTTTCATTATCGCGAATATTTAATCCGCCGAAATTTCCCTCGAAAATTATTCTTGGAACATTCGATAACGTGTCTTTCGCGTTTCTTCAACAGATTTTTTTTCATAGATCGTTGTTCCTTGGTACAAACATTTGCACTTGATATTTGAGAAAGTAGTGGGAATATTTAATTAGCAAAAAAAATGATAGTTCACGAGCGAGTAAAAAAATTGTGATGTAATCATGCTTTCCAGAAAATTCGTTTTAATTCTTTGGTTTCTGAACGAGTTCTCACAATTTTTTTGCTTTGATTAAACTCTCTAACAGATCACGAGCTTTAAACCTAAATTTCCTTTCTTCATAAGTGATTGATGGAATTGTTGTCGAGGGGTTGTTGAAGATGAGTTTGTGCGACGTGTAACTTTATCTACAAAATTAATGATACTTCTAAAATGAAAGCTGTATGATCCAGATCGATCAAGATAAAACAATAATTCCCATAATAATCTCTATTCGTCTGGATTAATATATCTTCCTTTTTCATTGTAGAGAAATGAATATAATTTGAACGACACATTACATTTCATTTTCAATTGTTAAAAAATTTGCACAGTGGCTAGGAAAATTATTTAAATGTTTTAATCTCACTTATATAACGTCATCCGAGTTTAATTGAAATAATCATCTATTCGCAAAGTCGTGGAGAACAAAATTAAAAATTAGTAAAATTAATTGACGATCGAAATAATTTAATTTTCCGCGCGACTCTCAGAGAGCACGATCGTTTATCGTTCTTAAAATAAATATCGGTCTTTTAAAAATTACCTAATTACCTAATCTTAATTTTAAAAATTACCCAATCTTTTAAAAATTACTAAAAATACCTTGTTTTATCGCTAATTGCGATATCTTCAACAACGAATTAATCTCAAATCCTCAATTAAAAGTTATCTAACGATATCCAAGAATCTTCATTTCGTTATCTGTTATAGAATCTTGATTGACAAATCGTGATTTGTTTGGAAATCAAATTTATAAATAACGATTTGTATCGTTACGATACGATTCTCAGAAATTGTTGAGTAGCTGTGGTTGCTAGACTTGCTAGTTTTCATTAAAGTACTCGCAATCAGTGTTCCGTTTATGCTAATCTCTCGACAAAATTCATCCAAAGGAATTGGAAAAAAATTCTAAATTTTCAATTTTTCCCAACGTATGATAATCCTACCATAAAGTAAAAAAGAATCTACAGTGAATAGAAGAAAATTAATTAATGTTAATTGTAATAATTCTGTTCGTGGATAATTTTTTAAAAATCTCGTAACAATAAATTTGTAAAATTTGATGATCAGAATTAAAATTTCCATGACATCTAGCGGTCCAAATTTCCCCGAATTCGCCTGAAATGTTGAATTACCTGGACAGCTACGATGCTAGCCATGGCGGTGAGGTCCGCCAGTGTCCTCAGGTAATTAAAATACCTGGCGTACTCGTCCACGTTCCCAGTGGTGAGCTCAGTGTCCGTTTGTTGAACCATCTTTCCAAATCTTCTCTAATACACGGCCGTGAAGAGATCTCACTCGTCAACTTCTTCGAATTAAAAACCAGATGGCCGTAATCCCTTCACTTTCACCTCCTCCGAAATCTCCAGTCAATCGCACTTTCTACCACGCTCCCTTCACAAACTTCTATTTACCTTACGAACCTTGGCCCGAAATTTAATTCGCCCGATCGATCGACGATTTAAATACTTATTGTGCTAATTTAATTTCAACTCGGAAGTCTTTGGGAAAAGATCGGGACCAAAGATCGGTCGCGATCGTCGATCACAATTACTTTTTCGTAGCGTATATAGTCTTTGGTATAAAAAACACAGAGAGTTCCATCAAACAATTCGGTCAATTTTCGTTTGGTTGGATTCAAAGCAACTCTGCCAACAATTTCACCGTTGTGAATTTGATCACGGTTAATTTTACGGATTCCGAATTCAACTGATTCCAGAATTGTTATACGTAAAACTGTCGCGACTAGCACGTGCACGTTGCTCGATGTCGAAATCGATGTCAGAGTTTCGAGCGTACGCTGAGCCTCGAAGCGCGTGGACGTCGCTCGACTGCTAAACGTGGTCTACGTGCTGATTCCTGGCCGTCAGCTTTTTATCTGGGCCAAAGGTTCTCCGTTTGTTGCGCGCCAGCGCCACGGTGGGGGAAGGAGACGCGAAGGAAATCGCGAACAGCGACGAACAATCCGCCAGAAACACTGGTGTAGGCATTTGCGTACGTTGCACACGCAAGAAGTGGAGGTGCAGCTTGAAGAGGAGCATGATTTTTATGGCTCAATGATTACAAACCTCCGAGAGTAATTTTTTTTATCGTTCTCTGCAGCAATAAACTTACTTACGATCTGGGAAATTTAATATGACAATGAAAATATAATTCAACGTAGTCGATATTATGTAATTTCAATGTAATTTAACATAGTTGATATTATGTGACATTTTGATATAACTTAGCATAGTTTATATTATGCAATTTTAATGTAATTTAACATAGAGATTTGTATATGTGATTTTAATATAATTTAATATAAATTAAATAATATATAGATTTGTATATATATATATAGTACTATATATACTATAGTATAGTACTATAGTATATATAGTACTATAATATATAGATTTATATATGTAATTTTAATATAATTTAATATAGATTAAATAATATATATTTTTATAGATTTGTGTATATAATTTTAATATAATTTAATATCGATCAGAAGTTCTATAAATTTAATTAATTACGAGCACTATCAAAACACTTAAGCTCGTGCTTTTCTAATTAGAAAGAAATATTAAATTTCCCACGTCACTATATATATTTTCATCAAGCTTTTTTCCAACGATTTCCACAGTCATTTTTTCATTTTTTTCCACGATCATTCTGCTTCGTCATCATTAGATTATTATATTCTAATTGCTGGACTGCGGATTTGTGAAATATTTAAAAATATGCAAAAATGCACGTAATGAATCTGACAATATATACGAGATATCCAAAGAAGACTATAAATAACTCTGCGTGGAAAGAACGATCTATTTCTCAAATTGTGTTCGTGAGAATTTAGAAATACATAAAAATCCGTCGTCTAATAATTATACACGTAGTTGCTGTTCATTTTACTTCTAGACGACACATAAATAAAACTACAAGTTTCGAACTGTAATGGATATTAAGAAGTGTTTGTAGCATCATCTCTTTGTTTTTTTTTTAATCGACAGAGTCGATCAGCGTGGCTCCTGAACGATCCACTCGATCAGTATAACCTCAAGGGTCGAGTGCTGTTAATGTGCCACGCGACTGTTCGATGATTTCTTCGTTGTTCCGAGTGCATGAATCATTCACGAAGTGCAAATGTCGTATTTAGTTTATCGATTGTGGATCGATTTTTAGAATCGAACATCATGCATCATTATCGCACGTGAATTTTTTCTTAGAAAAAAAAATTCACGAGTCTTCGATCCTGCTTTGCTTTTTGTAATAACAATTACAAGCGTTCGGGAGTTATTCTCACTTTGATTTCAATCAACGTTCTCGTTTTAATTTTAACGAGTACGAAATCGTGTCGGATGCATAACATTGAGTGTTATATTTTCGTTCGATTCGTATAATACTCTGTGCAGCAGTAGATTTTTTTAAATTTCCCATAAACGCACAATAAATCCACATTAATACTGGATCAGAGCATAAAATTTCCATCAGAGGCGTTAAAGTGAAATAAAAAGAGAGAATAGAGAAATTTTATAATATAATGCGAAAGCTTTCACTTTACTTTTTAAAGCTCATTTAAATCTCTATAAAAATATATTTACAGAAGAGATCGATCATTTCGATCACTTTGGTAACTTTAATGTTAATAAAACGATAATAAAAGCAGAACGTCATTGTATTCGTAAAAAGCCACGTTTTTGCAATACTTACATAAAAGGCATGAGAATTTCAGAAATATGTTATTGTAATATGGACAATGACGTCCCTATGAATGATTCATTTGAATGAAAGACACGTGAGTCATGGTTCTTTAATGCACGCATACACTGATCCGCAAAAGTGTAAATTACTTGTCGTGTTAAATTTATAACAAACATGTCGAATCGGTTTGTTTGCTCCTTCGAACGTTGTAACCAAACTTGAAGAATTGTGGTGAGCCGCCATATTTTTGGACGAGATTTGAATAGAAAATATTTTTGTTCTTTCTGTAATTACTTCATATAAAAAAATATATTACGTATTAATAATATGAACGAAACATAAATTGAAGATAGTTTTTATATCTGTCGAATATAATATATTCTACAATTCTCAATCTTTTTCTACGACAGTTACAAATATTTTCAGCTGATGATTCTGTTTTAATCGTATTATTATTTAACAATACTTTTCTGTAGAGTCAATGGGAGCTTTTATTCTACACAGAAATTGGTAATAGAAAAATTACCTACATAACATTTGATACCACACGTACGTAATATAAACATTGCAAATTCTTTTCACCGGAGATCTGCAACGATACTCGATTTCTTGGAAGGTTTCGCTTCTCAAAAATAAACGAGTAACGGCCCAGTTACATCGTACAACGCGCGAAACTCGGAACACTTTGTATCACTTTGATTCGAGCTGAACATACCGCAGCGCAGCAGCTGTTACAAAACACCGGAAATATCGATTGCGACGTCATCATCTATTCAGTTACGTTTAGAGCTTCCTACACAGTTTTGTGGTATCCAAAATGTTAACGAACAAAATCTAGATTTAAAAAGAAACAGAATGTTAATAACTCCAAACTCTCGACATATAAGAATGATCTTTAATTTATGTCTCATTGATATTAGTACTAATTTATAATACATAATAGATACATGAAATCTTCACAAAGTGATCAGTAAGAAAGTTTCACGATAATTGCTCAGTCTCTGTCGCTTTATTTTGGCGAGAGGAAAGTTCACGTGACCCAAATGTTCCTCTAAAGCTGACAGAAAGTACTTGATTTTCAAAGACAGCTATTCTAATATCTAATATTAGTGATAGCTAGACGAACGGTGAAACGATTCTCGCGTATATTTTCGGATATTGTTCTCGAGGTATAAATGTGCTTAAAACGAAGTCGTTGTCTCCTGTTGCAATTTTCGGAAACGCGAATACCTCGAATAACTCTTCCTTGTCGCAAATTTACACGAAAATACATGCAATACATAGAAATTTTCAGGAATTTTCATTGTGTTTCAACACTTTGAGTTTGATTTATTCGATACGTTGTTTGACTTATTTAATTTCAATGTAATTTTCTATCTTTTCATACTTAACACGCAATTTTTGTATCTTTTATATATTACATCGTTTCAATTTCAAAACGACAAAATCCAATGAACACGGCACTTGGACTTCTCCATTTTAAATGGAGAAACCAAGTTTTCATCTTCTTCAGTCGAGAAATGTTTTCGATACGCTGGATCTCGGTTCGACTATCGTCACTCTTTCGCTTATTTTCGATTTGCAATCAGTGAAAGAAAAAAAATAAAAGAGAGAAAAAGAATTAGGAGAAGAAACATACTGTTGAATCGGTAGCAGCAGAAATTTACACGCAAATTCGAGCGAAACGATGCCGATTCTAATAAACCGAGTGGCCACTTTTCCTGGCCACTGATATCATCGGCCACGAATCTACCTCCAAGCTCCACGAACAGTCAAATTCGTTGGTCCTCCGCGTGAGTCAACCGGTGACTTCGACGAAACGGTACGTCTATTTCGAACCCACCAAATTCGACCAATTTGTCGTCTCCTCTCTCGAGACAGATTCGTAAGTAGGCGTGTTTTCTTCTTTCCCGATTAGGAGAAACGAGAGACGAAAAAAACTGAATCGAGACGAGCTCGTCTAGTATTTTCACTCGAACTGGGGAAATGGAGATGACGAAAGATGACGAGAAACAGAAACAGAATGAAATTTGTTTCAAAAACATGGAAGTTACTCTTAAGGAAGGAGGAACAATAATTTTGTATCTTAAAATATTCGTATTTTAATATTCTGATATTCGAATTAAAAGATTCTGCGTTTCACAATCTCGACAAAAATTATCTCTAACGCTCGATATTTCGTAGACGATAAATTGCATCGTATACGACTTTTCGTGCGCGAAATCAACGAGGGTAGGTTGAATCATGAGTGTACGTGACACTGTGCACGCATAATGGAGCATACTAGGCGATATCACGAAATGTTAAACGCTACGACGTAACGGGGACAGACAGATAATTTTCCTCCCAATTATTCCTCGTTTTCCACTTAATTATTTCATCTCCGCGTTCGCGAATAAGAATCATTGAATTCTCTAACGATGATTCGTCACTTTTCCAAGTAATTCCAATTATTTCGAATTTTCTCATTTATGACAAGCTTTAACGTGACGTCGAATCAATCATTTCCAAGAGATTGAACATATTTCTTTCCAGTTACGTCGATTGGAAGATTAATCAACGCACAGATAAATAAATATATTTCCCAGCTCTTTGCATCTTGCAAATTATTTCTTCATATTCTCTATACTTATTTCTTATTATATTTCATTTTTTACACCCATATTTCATATTTCAGTATAATATTCTTATACACATTGTCTTTCACCATGTTCTTATATCATATTCTTTACGTTTCTCAAATTAAAAAATCATCCAACGACAACAGAAAGCTGACAACCTCGAAGTGATACTCGATTTCATAGCGTATCCCAGAGATCACTTGCACCGTCGTGAAAGAAAAATTTTAATTTCGCTCGACGCACACACGTGCGAAATTAATAGAATCCCCCCCGATATGTCGTCTATACTCCGCACGTCGGAACAGAACGGGATGAATAAACCATCGTGGCGGCTGCGTTTGACGCGACCGAGACGATTGGAAATTTTTTTCTTCTTCTGGGAGAGAGGAAAATACGAAAGTCAAATGGCCGGTGTAAGTGGCGGCCTACTTCCGGTCCCGCGGCGCCGCAAATAAACTCGCGTGTTCCACTCCGAGATTTCTCAATTCCCCGTGGCGACTAACTGCGTGGGAAACGACGTCCGCTTTGCTATTACAC